AAAAGAATTCCACTGCTCCCGAGGTCAGGGTGCGAATTTTGGGTTTACGGTTTAGGATCTCGGGTTTAGGGTTTTAAGATCCCAACACCGAAATGCCAGCTTCAGCACCCATCCCCGATCAACGCGACATGCGGGACCAAAAATTCGGAATTCGTCGTGCAATTGCCCGCGCTCGGCAAAGCAGTTTCCAAGTAGCTGGTGTGCCGTGGCATTTCGGGGTGTAGTAGAGGTTTAGGGCGGGCGCAAACAGGAACACCTCAGAAAAATCACATCCCGCAGATGTACCGCAGTTCCGATACATGCCTCCTGAACGCCTAGGATTCCGCACAATTCCTAGGTAGGATAAGGGGGACCCTTAAAAGGGAACCCCTTCTGAACCCTCTTCTGGCGCTCTTAAGGAGGGACCTGATTCAGAGGGTCTATATCCCCAAGGGCCCCCCTAATCCTACCTCCTAACAATGTTGCGCAGAATCTCTCGAGTTAAGCTAGCCTTGAAACCCAAACCTAAATCCTTGGGCCCCCGCCTCTTGCTCCAGCCTTTTGATGCCTCCCCTCCCCCCCCCCCCCATGCCCTCAACCCTGAACCCTAAACCCGAAACCCTAAATCCTGAACCCTAAACCCTCAAGCCCCACTGCAACTCGAAATTATTCAAAAGATTAAGAACCGAAACTCCCCGAAACTTTCCCCGGACCTGAACCTTGTGAATAATTTCAAAAAACCCTAAAGCCTAAATCCTAAACCCTAAACCCTAAATCCTAAACCCTAAACCCTAAACCCTAAACCCTATGCCCCCCCCCCCCCCCCCCCCCATGCCCTCAACCCTGAACCCTAAACCCGAAACCCTAAATCCTGAACCCTAAACCCTCAAGCCCCACTGCAACTCGAAATTATTCAAAAGATTAAGAACCGAAACTCCCCGAAACTTTCCCCGGACCTGAACCTTGTGAATAATTTCAAAAAACCCTAAAGCCTAAATCCTAAACCCTAAACCCTAAATCCTAAACCCTAAACCCTAAACCCTAAACCCTAAATCCTAAACCCTAAACCCTAACACTTCGGATGTAAGGTTGCACTTGCGGGCCGGGCCTAGGGGGTTTTAAAGGTTTAGGGGCTGTAAGGGTTTTAAGGGCTCAAGGGTTTTCAGTTTTCAGGGATTTAGGGTTTAGGGTTTAGGGTTTAGGGTTCAGGGTTTAGGGTAGTTGTGTTCACAAGTCATCGCGATGCCGAGTACTGGCAGCTGCCACAGCGAGCGCAGGACTTTTCCCAGCACCAGCTTCCCGAGTAGTTGAGCTCATGATGGTGCTTTCCCTTGAGGACTCCAAACCCTAAACCCTAAACCCTAAGCCCTAAGCCCTAAACCCTAAACCCTAAACCCTAGACCCTGAACCCTAAACCCTAATCTCTTCAGCTGGTGCTGCATCCTGCCATGCACGACCGGCCCCGCCCACAATGCACAGAATGCGAAAAAGGATGGGGGTTTAGGGGTTAGGGTTTAGGGTTTAAGGTTTAGGGTTTAGCGTTTAGGGTTTAGGGTTTAGGGTTTAACTTCAGCGTGTTGTGTCTTAGAGCCAAACATTTCTAGCAGCAAAGATACCTTAGTAACGGAGCAGCCCTTAAGTCAGAAGGGGGATCCGGTTGAGAGGTTTAAAGGCATGTCTAGGGTTTAGGGTTTAGGGTTTAGGGTTTAGGGTTTAGGGTTTAGGGTTTAGGGTTTAGGGTTTAGGGTTTAGGGTTTAGGGTTTAGGGTTTAGGGTTTAGGGTTTAGGGTTTAGGGTTCACTATTTTGCTGGGAGCTGTATGCGGACCATCCTTCTGCTGTTGTCGGTGGGGTGCGGTTTAGGGTTGAGGGTTGAGGGTTTAGGGTTTAGGGTTTAGGGGTTAGCGTTTAGCGTTTAGCGTTTAGCGTTTAGCGTTTAGGTTTTAGGGTTTAGGGTTTAGGGTTTACCTTGCAGGGAAGGGTTCTGTTAGATGGGGGGGGGGGGGGGCCCGCGAGAGGGTGCGGCGCCGGGGTTCCTTGTAAAGGCGTCTGCGAGATACCCGAAACCCTAAACCCGAAAACCTAAACCCTAAACCCTGAACCCTGAACCCTAAACCCTAAACCCTAAACCCTAAACCCTCAACCCTCAACCCTAAACCCTAAACCCTAAACCCTAAACCCTAAACCCAAACAATAAATACTCAAGCCCTTGCAGCTCCTTTGGCTCGATGCGTTGAGCCCCCGGGTTGTCGTCCCGCGGCCCGGGACACGATGGACGCGTCCGCGGAGGCTACCGCAGGCGCGCGCGTGCGCCAAGGGTTTGTTTTAGGGTGGGGGGGCCCCTTATTTGGGGGGGTTGAGGAGTGAGGGTTTTAGGGTTTAGGGTTTAGGGTTTAGGGTTCAGGGTTTAGGGTTTAGGGTTTAGGGTTTTTACATGACACAGGGAAAGTTGCTTGAGCCGCTGCGTGGATTTGGGGTCTGCAAATCAGGAGGGTGTCGGCTCGAGTGAGTTGAGGTCACAGAGACTTTAGGGTTTAGGGTTAAGGGTTTAGGGTTTCGGGTTTAGGGTTTAGGGTTCTTAAGGGAGGGGGTGCGTGCTGCGGGGCGCAAGCAAGCCTTTCCCTCCAACCCCAGATCCTAAGCCCCTGAACTTCTAAACCCCAAACCCTAAACCATAAAGCTCCTGAATCCCTAAACCCCAAACCTTAAGTCCCTCAACCCTCAGGCCATCTTCCCCTTATCCCACGGAAGAAGAGCAAAGCCCCTTAACCACAAGCCCCCAAAGCCCTGAATCCCTAAAACCCTAAACCCCTAAACCCTAAACCATCTAACCCCTAAACCCTAAACCCTAAACCCTGAACCCTAAACCCTAAACCCTAAACCCCTAAACCCTAAACCCGAAACCCTAAACCCCTAAACCCTAAACCCTAAACCCTAAACCCTAAACCCTAAACCCTAAACCCTAAACCCTAAACCCTAAACCCTAAACCCTAAACCCTAAACCCTAAACCCTAAACCCTAAACCCTAAACCTCAACTCAGGGAAGAAGAAGAGCAAGAGGGAGTGGAAGAAGATCGACCCCGGGCAAATCCTGGACATCCAGTGCGAGCGCTCGGTGGGGGAGGGCTCGCAGCTCTCTAGTGTCGTTGAGGCTTTAGCGTTTGGGGTCTAGGGTTTGGGGCTTACCCTAAACCCTAAACCCTAAACCTTAAACCCTAAACCCCAAACCCTAAACCCTAAGCCCTAAGCCCCAAACCCTAAACCCTAAACCCTAAACCCCAAACCCCAAACCCTAATCCCTAAACCCTAAACCCTAAGCCCTAAACCCTAAACCCTAAACCCTAAACCCTAACTCGAAAGGCGCCCCTCTTCCCAGGGTTTAGGGTCTAGGGCTTTAGGGTTTAGGGTTTAGGGTTTAGGGTTTAGGGTTTAGGGTGAATGCCCAGCCACCCAGAGAATCCCACACAATTAGGAGAATACAGAGCTCACAGAATCCATAAACTTTAGGCTCCATACCCTGGGGTCCAAATCCTAACTTCTTTCGCTGTACCAATTCAGCAAAGTCAAAATGGGGAGGGTGGGAGGGGGGATCCCATAAATCAGAATTCCTCTTCACCTTGTGTCGAACGAGTTACAAGGCCAAAAAAACAGCTTCTAGGATGCTGCCCCCCAGGACGGGTTGTCCGGGCCCCTCCAAAACAGGTTGTCACGGGGCGTCCCCGAACGTCCTTGGGACACATCACGAACTGTTGGGCCGCTGCCCACGAACCGGTGGGCCAATGCCCACGAACCGTTGGACCAATGCCCACTAAGAGTTTAAGGTTTATGTACATAGGTAAGATACGGTTTAGGTTTTAGAGTAAGGCTGAACCCTGTGGCCCCCTCTCCAAGGTCCTATGAGGACGTTCGCAAAGGAGATGGAAAAGGCAAGAAAGGCGACAAAGGAAAAGGAAGAGTGCGGATCCCAGAACCAGGATTTGGGTTGAGGGTTGAGGGTTGAGGGTTGAGGGTTTAGGGTTGAGGGAGGTTCCTCTTGACGTCTTCGGACGCGGCAGGAAATTCAAGGTGTCGTCGTTCAGTATAAGACGAAGCAAGTGAAGATTCTAGCGAACCGATGGCGCGCCACAGCGACGGAGTCCCGAGATGAAGTGGCCGAAGCCTTTCGCAAGCTTCAACCTCTACCATGCCCGCATGAAGGCGGCGGCACGCCTTGCGAGGAGCGCCCTCCTAAGGAACGAACCCTAAACCCTAACCCCTAAACCCTATGCCCTACACCCTAAACCCTAAACCCTAACCCTAAACCCTAAACCCTCAACTCTGAACCCTAAGGCAGTAGCTGGAAACAGCATCTGCGCCGGCGAGCTCGAGTGCTTGTCTCACTTAGGGTTTAGGGTTTAGGGTTTAGGGTTTAGGGTTTAGGGTTTAGGGTTTAGGGTTTAGGGTACGTTGAGGGATAAGAACCCTACGTCCTTAACCCGACGCCCTTAACTCCAAACCCTGAACCCTTCATCCTAAACCCTAAGCCCTCAACCCCTAGCTACAACCTAAACACTGCAGCGGTGGGTGTTCCCTTCGTCGAGCTGGAAAGTGCGCAGACAGAGCCCGAAAGGGCTTTAATTTTTGTTGACACTCTTTGCTGACATGGCGAGTTCTTTTTTCTTGGCGTACAGTACTCTGAATATTTGGGGCCGCCTGAGAATAGTACCCTCCACAACAAAAAGGGCCATATTTAATTCAGAGAAGTGACCATGTGGCCGTGGTATGGTGTGTGTGTGTGCCTTCCGGAACTTGGCAATCCACGGAACGGCCCCAGACATGACCCTAAATTTTCATTTTTAATACTATCCCAACCATGAACTACATTCAGGGCCCATCACGCTGAAGCTCACTCTGCGACCGGAATCCGGCTTGCAAACCTGGCCCCGGAAATCATGCTTTTAAGCAACCTAAACCAGCTCAAGAGGTGAGTTAACTGTTCGGCAGTGCGGACACTTGGCACGTCATCCATAGCGTTTTTCTTCTCTAAAGTGCTAAGTTTCTATGAGACCATGTGGCACCCGCGTTCTTCTGCACGGGAGCACACTGGGTTTCGGTGGGACCCGCATTCTTCTGCGTGGGAATGCACTGAAAATCGGCGGGGCCCGCGTTCTTCTGCGTGGGACGGTACCGGGTCTCGGTGGGACCCGCGTTCTTCTGCGTGGGACCGTACCGGGTCTCGGTAAAACCCGTGTTCTTCTGCGTGGGACCGCGCCGGCTTTCGGCGGGACCCGCGTTCTTCTGCGTGGGACCGAATTGGGTTTCGGGGAGGCCCGCGTTCTTCTGCGTGGGACCGTGCCTGGTTTCGGTGGGACGCGCGTTCTTCTGCGTGGGACCGCGCTGGGTTTCGGTGGGACCCGCTAAATCGCTCCGTTCTTCTGCGTGGGACCGTACACCCCGTTTGGGTTTTACAAGGCTAATTAAGGGAAGGGGAGGGCCCCACTGGACCACTTTTTCGTGTAGTTGCAGCATTGTAGTCCAAGCGCCTGCCCAGCCGGTGCGTTGGTGTGTGGTCTGTAGAGCCCGGAGTGGGCTTGCTATATGGGTGGGCTTGCTTTTGGTACCGCCAAACGGTCAACCGTCCGGCTTCAACACGATGGGCCCAAATAGTATCGCAAGAATGCCATCAGGCAAGTAGCATGATCGAATTGTCTGCAAGACGGGCTTCTGCAATGCCCGGCAACGTCGCAGCAAGGTCCGCGCAAACATCTTGGATGCTACAGCACCATTAATGCTTTGCAGCAATGTGCCCGATTGGCCTGCAAAATGCGCGGTTTCCGGCTTCGTTTTTTGGGCTATTTTCTGGGCAGCTTTCTTCATGCCAGCAGCAGCCAGAGCACAGAATTTGCCGCCCGCGCCGTGGGCGCAGTTTCGGAACCGCCGAATTTTCGTTTTTGGGGTCGTGCTTCTGGCTCCAAGTTTTTGGTTTATTTGTCGGGCTGCTTTGTCTTCCCACCCCGGCGACCAGTTTTCGTCCCATTTTGGTGGCCGGGTTTCCGGCCCGCTCGGCGGGCCCAAAAAACTGACCCAGGCACATTCAGGGCCCATCACGCTGAAGCTCACTCTGCGACCGGAATCCGGCTTGCAAACCTGGCCCCGGAAATCATGCTTTTAAGCAACCTAAACCAGCTCAAGAGGTGAGTTAACTGTTCGGCAGTGCGGACACTTGGCACGTCATCCATAGCGTTTTTCTTCTCTAAAGTGCTAAGTTTCTATGAGACCATGTGGCACCCGCGTTCTTCTGCACGGGAGCACACTGGGTTTCGGTGGGACCCGCATTCTTCTGCGTGGGAATGCACTGAAAATCGGCGGGGCCCGCGTTCTTCTGCGTGGGACGGTACTGGGTCTCGGTGGGACCCGCGTTCTTCTGCGTGGGACCGTACCGGGTCTCGGTAAAACCCGTGTTCTTCTGCGTGGGACCGCGCCGGCTTTCGGCGGGACCCGCGTTCTTCTGCGTGGGACCGAATTGGGTTTCGGGGAGGCCCGCGTTCTTCTGCCTGGGACCGTGCCTGGTTTCGGTGGGACGCGCGTTCTTCTGCGTGGGACCGTGCTGGGTTTCGGTGGGACCCGCTAAATCGCTCCGTTCTTCTGCGTGGGACCGTACACCCCGTTTGGGTTTTACAAGGCTAATTAAGGGAAGGGGAAGGCTCCACTGGACCACTTTTTCGTGTAGTTGCAGCATTGTAGTCCAAGCGCCTGCCCAGCCGGTGCGTTGGTGTGTGGTCTGTAGAGCCCGGAGTGGGCTTGCTATATGGGTGGGCTTGCTTTTGGTACCGCCAAACGGTCAACCGTCCGGCTTCAACACGATGGGCCCAAATAGCATCGCAAGAATGCCATCAGGCAAGTAGCATGATCGAATTGTCTGCAAGACGGGCTTCTGCAATGCCCGGCAAACGTCGCAGCAAGGTCCGCGCAAACATCTTGGATGCTACAGCACCATTAATGCTTTGCAGCAATGTGCCCGATTGGCCTGCAAAATGCGCGGTTTCCGGCTTCGTTTTTTGGGCTATTTTCTGGGCAGCTTTCTTCATGCCAGCAGCAGCCAGAGCACAGAATTTGCCGCCCGCGCCGTGGGCGCAGTTTCGGAACCGCCGAATTTTCGTTTTTGGGGTCGTGCTTCTGGCTCCAAGTTGTTGGTTTATTTGTCGGGCTGCTTTGGCTTCCCACCCCGGCGACCAGTTTTCGTCCCATTTTGGTGGCCGGGTTTCCGGCCCGCTCGGCGGGCCCAAAAAACTGACCCAGGCACATTCAGGGCCCATCACGCTGAAGCTCACTCTGCGACCGGAATCCGGCTTGCAAACCTGGCCCCGGAAATCATGCTTTTAAGCAACCTAAACCAGCTCAAGAGGTGAGTTAACTGTTCGGCAGTGCGGACACTTGGCACGTCATCCATAGCGTTTTTCTTCTCTAAAGTGCTAAGTTTCTATGAGACCATGTGGCACCCGCGTTCTTCTGCACGGGAGCACACTGGGTTTCGGTGGGACCCGCATTCTTCTGCGTGGGAATGCACTGAAAATCGGCGGGGCCCGCGTTCTTCTGCGTGGGACGGTACCGGGTCTCGGTGGGACCCGCGTTCTTCTGCGTGGGACCGTACCGGGTCTCGGTAAAACCCGTGTTCTTCTGCGTGGGACCGCGCCGGCTTTCGGCGGGACCCGCGTTCTTCTGCGTGGGACCGAATTGGGTTTCGGGGAGGCCCGCGTTCTTCTGCGTGGGACCGTGCCTGGTTTCGGTGGGACGCGCGTTCTTCTGCGTGGGACCGCGCTGGGTTTCGGTGGGACCCGCTAAATCGCTCCGTTCTTCTGCGTGGGACCGTACACCCCGTTTGGGTTTTACAAGGCTAATTAAGGGAAGGGGAGGGCCCCACTGGACCACTTTTTCGTGTAGTTGCAGCATTGTAGTCCAAGCGCCTGCCCAGCCGGTGCGTTGGTGTGTGGTCTGTAGAGCCCGGAGTGGGCTTGCTATATGGGTGGGCTTGCTTTTGGTACCGCCAAACGGTCAACCGTCCGGCTTCAACACGATGGGCCCAAATAGTATCGCAAGAATGCCATCAGGCAAGTAGCATGATCGAATTGTCTGCAAGACGGGCTTCTGCAATGCCCGGCAACGTCGCAGCAAGGTCCGCGCAAACATCTTGGATGCTACAGCACCATTAATGCTTTGCAGCAATGTGCCCGATTGGCCTGCAAAATGCGCGGTTTCCGGCTTCGTTTTTTGGGCTATTTTCTGGGCAGCTTTCTTCATGCCAGCAGCAGCCAGAGCACAGAATTTGCCGCCCGCGCCGTGGGCGCAGTTTCGGAACCGCCGAATTTTCGTTTTTGGGGTCGTGCTTCTGGCTCCAAGTTTTTGGTTTATTTGTCGGGCTGCTTTGTCTTCCCACCCCGGCGACCAGTTTTCGTCCCATTTTGGTGGCCGGGTTTCCGGCCCGCTCGGCGGGCCCAAAAAACTGACCCAGGCACATTCAGGGCCCATCACGCTGAAGCTCACTCTGCGACCGGAATCCGGCTTGCAAACCTGGCCCCGGAAATCATGCTTTTAAGCAACCTAAACCAGCTCAAGAGGTGAGTTAACTGTTCGGCAGTGCGGACACTTGGCACGTCATCCATAGCGTTTTTCTTCTCTAAAGTGCTAAGTTTCTATGAGACCATGTGGCACCCGCGTTCTTCTGCACGGGAGCACACTGGGTTTCGGTGGGACCCGCATTCTTCTGCGTGGGAATGCACTGAAAATCGGCGGGGCCCGCGTTCTTCTGCGTGGGACGGTACCGGGTCTCGGTGGGACCCGCGTTCTTCTGCGTGGGACCGTACCGGGTCTCGGTAAAACCCGTGTTCTTCTGCGTGGGACCGCGCCGGCTTTCGGCGGGACCCGCGTTCTTCTGCGTGGGACCGAATTGGGTTTCGGGGAGGCCCGCGTTCTTCTGCGTGGGACCGTGCCTGGTTTCGGTGGGACGCGCGTTCTTCTGCGTGGGACCGCGCTGGGTTTCGGTGGGACCCGCTAAATCGCTCCGTTCTTCTGCGTGGGACCGTACACCCCGTTTGGGTTTTACAAGGCTAATTAAGGGAAGGGGAGGGCCCCACTGGACCACTTTTTCGTGTAGTTGCAGCATTGTAGTCCAAGCGCCTGCCCAGCCGGTGCGTTGGTGTGTGGTCTGTAGAGCCCGGAGTGGGCTTGCTATATGGGTGGGCTTGCTTTTGGTACCGCCAAACGGTCAACCGTCCGGCTTCAACACGATGGGCCCAAATAGTATCGCAAGAATGCCATCAGGCAAGTAGCATGATCGAATTGTCTGCAAGACGGGCTTCTGCAATGCCCGGCAACGTCGCAGCAAGGTCCGCGCAAACATCTTGGATGCTACAGCACCATTAATGCTTTGCAGCAATGTGCCCGATTGGCCTGCAAAATGCGCGGTTTCCGGCTTCGTTTTTTGGGCTATTTTCTGGGCAGCTTTCTTCATGCCAGCAGCAGCCAGAGCACAGAATTTGCCGCCCGCGCCGTGGGCGCAGTTTCGGAACCGCCGAATTTTCGTTTTTGGGGTCGTGCTTCTGGCTCCAAGTTTTTGGTTTATTTGTCGGGCTGCTTTGTCTTCCCACCCCGGCGACCAGTTTTCGTCCCATTTTGGTGGCCGGGTTTCCGGCCCGCTCGGCGGGCCCAAAAAACTGACCCAGGCACATTCAGGGCCCATCACGCTGAAGCTCACTCTGCGACCGGAATCCGGCTTGCAAACCTGGCCCCGGAAATCATGCTTTTAAGCAACCTAAACCAGCTCAAGAGGTGAGTTAACTGTTCGGCAGTGCGGACACTTGGCACGTCATCCATAGCGTTTTTCTTCTCTAAAGTGCTAAGTTTCTATGAGACCATGTGGCACCCGCGTTCTTCTGCACGGGAGCACACTGGGTTTCGGTGGGACCCGCATTCTTCTGCGTGGGAATGCACTGAAAATCGGCGGGGCCCGCGTTCTTCTGCGTGGGACGGTACTGGGTCTCGGTGGGACCCGCGTTCTTCTGCGTGGGACCGTACCGGGTCTCGGTAAAACCCGTGTTCTTCTGCGTGGGACCGCGCCGGCTTTCGGCGGGACCCGCGTTCTTCTGCGTGGGACCGAATTGGGTTTCGGGGAGGCCCGCGTTCTTCTGCCTGGGACCGTGCCTGGTTTCGGTGGGACGCGCGTTCTTCTGCGTGGGACCGTGCTGGGTTTCGGTGGGACCCGCTAAATCGCTCCGTTCTTCTGCGTGGGACCGTACACCCCGTTTGGGTTTTACAAGGCTAATTAAGGGAAGGGGAAGGCTCCACTGGACCACTTTTTCG